GTGGTGGTAATCTTGTAAATAAACAAGTCCAAAAGGATCAGGAATCCCTGTCAAAACAGAATCCAAAACGAACCAGGAAAAGCCAAATATCACGATCCGGTCGACCGCCAATCCTGGTCCGTTCGACCGGCCAGAGCGCTTCTGCAAACCCTGCCTTGTGTAGGTTTCTCCGGTCGACCGGCATGGGTGCCGCGGTCGACCGGCCAGAACCCGACCCTGTTTTTCCTGATCTTCTGCGTTCCACTCCTTCTGACTTCTTTCGCCGTCCTCTATGGCTCCAACCACGCCTCTATTCTCAAGATATCATGAGAATCACCTATCCTCAAGCTCCCATGAGGATTGCTTTTCCGAAGAGAAGATACACCCGTATCAAATAAAATCACATAAGATTTAACATGAAAAATCATCAAACAGGAAAATCCATTATCACCATCAAATTACAATCTTTTGTATAGACAAAGACAGCCAAACTCTCTCTCTCTCTCTCAATAATCTTGAACCCAGTTACACCCACTGTTAAACCCTAATTACAATAATATTGTCTCTCTCCTAACAAAAGTCTAGAATGGGATGTTTTATTTAAAGACATCATTGACTAGTCCATCAAGTCAACTTGGCCTACAAGAAAACTGTTAACTTGGATCTAAGAAAGTTACTAGGACTAGGCCTAGCCTTCAAATCCGGATCTAACTTGGAGTTTGAGTCGACACCCAATATATCCCCACTCTTTTCTTCTTGTTATTCACCTCTCCCTTGTGGTCAAGAGTCAGAGAAGAGTTACCTACACCATTAATAGATAGCCTATCTAAATAACAAATATGGTTGATACTCTTGCTCTTTTGCAAAATCAAATCACCTTCTATATACACTTTGCACCACCCTCCTTCACGCACATATTTGTGCCCACGCGACGCCATCTCACCCAATGAAATTAAATTAGCACCACATGACGACACATATCTCACATGACAAAAAATTCTGACCTCCCAGAGTGAAGGTTGAAGTGAACACTCCCAACGCTTTCATCCTTCATCTTCTTGTTACTTCCATCGATCACATGACTAAATTCTTTATTCGTCTTCAATGTGTCAAAACACTCTTTGTTATTGCAAACATGCATAGAGGCTGCAGAATCTAACACGCAAGTGTTACTCACATCAATACCGGTACTCTCCATCATCAACACTGCATCTTTATCAGACATAACTACCGAGGAGTCCTTCCTATTTACTTGAATCTTCATCTGTTTTATGCTTTTCAAGTCATCTTGCATTTGGGAACATCTAAACTGAATGTGACCCTCCTCTCCATAATAATAGCATTCTCTTTTGCTATCATCTTGGGCCCGAGATTTTAACCTTTCTCGATAACTATCACATCTCCTCTTACTCCTCCCTCGATTAGAACCTTCAAAACATAGTACACTCTCATCACCACTAGATATGCCCTCCTTTACTATTATTTCTCATTTTATCGTAGGAGTGTTGTCACATTATCATATTTTAAAGTTTGTTTCCTTGCAATTATCATTTGAACCACCGGCTTGTACGACTTCAGTAGTCTCCTGCATAACATTGCAGTTGATCTTGGAGCGAGTGCCAAACTAATTGTGCTGACCATCTTCTTTTGCATAGAACTCCATTCAGCATCATTCATCCTTTCAGGCTTCTTCTTCTCCAAAGCTTAATCAACACCCTTCTGCACACAAAAAAATCTTGAACCATACACTGCCATAATGTAAAATTTATCTTGCAGTTGAATAACGAAATATCGAACTTCAGACTCGAAAAAGTCATCATCCTCTAACCACAATCAAAATTCAAATTAGTCTTTGTAGAGATTAAATTTGGTAGAATCAACATAAAAATAAACTCAGCACATTAAAAATCCTAGGAACGACTCTTGGATCGTCAAATTCCTCCTCCAATTCTCCAATTGGAAGACAAATCAATATAAACCATCGGATTTGATTTAAAAATTAATTTTTAACTCAGACTCCTCACCCATGTGAATAGTCTTCCGCCCTACTGCTACACTAACTAAGTTTTCCCCCTTCACGTGTTGTTCGCCTGATGTCAATCACCACCCCTTGATCGTTGACGCCTTCACTAATCGCACACCGCTTAAACCTCCACGAACCATCAAACTCTGCTCTGATTCCACTTGTTGGAATTTTTGGATCATGCAGAAACCCAAAAAATCACCAAAAGTAGCAAATAATATCATACAAGATATAACGTGAAAAACTCTCAACAAGGAAAAACCATGAGATCGAAAATTAACCCTCTATAGTTTGCCAAAATGCAAAAAATATAGAATGGGTAAGCTAATCGCTTTAGATGATTTAAAATGAGTTAATACCTCAAAATGAGAAGTTTACTAATATTTAGACCTGTCCATCCGGACCGGCCCGGCTCGACCCGGCCCGGAAATCCGGGCCCGGGCCGGGCAAAACCGGAGCTCGGACCCGGACCCGGGTACCCCGGGCCTAACAGGGCCGGGCTCCGGTTTTTTACTTTTTTTTTCTTTTCTTTTTTTTGATAAAAAAATGCTAAAAATAGTTTAAAATTATTATATTTTATATAATTATGTATTAGTATATACTTACAAATTATTACGTAATTATATATTATATATACATATATTATATGTAAATATATTGTATATATTTATAAGTTATAACTTGAGAGAGAGAATCGCATAAGTAGTCATTGCCCGTTGGGCCAATGGGGAAGAAGTAGCCGTTGTAATATACTATACTTATATACTAAGAGAGAGAGTATACACACACATATTATACATATATAAGAGAGAGTATACTTATATATACATATATACTAAGAGAGAGAGTATATATATATATACACATATATTATACATATATAAGAGAGTGTATACTTATATATATTTATATAAGAGAGAGTATACTTATATAAGAGGGAGTATACTTATATAAAAGAGAGTATACTTATATATACATATATACTAGGAGAGAGAGTATATATATACATACATACATACATTATACATATATAAGAGAGAGTATTCTTATATATACTTATATAAGAGAAAGTATACTTATATATACTTATACATATATATACTTATATAAGAGAGAGTATAAGAGAGTATACTTATATACTAAGAGAGAGTATATATACACACATATTATACATATATAGAAATATATTATATATACATATATTATATATATACATATTTATACATATATAAAAATATATTATATATACATATATTATACATATTATATATATATTTATATATACATATATAATACATATAAAAAAATAAAAAATAAAAACACTATTCCGGGTCGGGCCGGGCCGCGGCCCGCCCGGGCCCGGGCCGGCGGGCTTTTTGGACACCCCTACTAATACTTCTATTCAGAAGGATTAAGAGTTAACCATTGTAGTTTTTAAGAAAATATAGTCAAAATATTTGTTATCTCCAAACACTAAAAATGATTACAAAGGCTAAAATAAAGCTTATTTAACAGATTAATAGTTTAGCCCTTCGAATTATCCAATGAGTTAGTTACATTAATCCTTCTCCTTAATCTCGCTTTCTTAACCATTTGCTAAAGGGGGCTTAAGAGGTTGAAAATACTCCTTTGTTTATTATAAATTACCCCTTTGCGCTCTTTTTCATTTTTTAGGTTTAACATCTCCGCCCTCTCTTATCAAATCCTTTTGTAGGGGGTGAAGGGAAGTTAAGGAAAACTGAGAGAATGGAAGGGAAGGGAAGGGAAGGGAGTTCCCTTCTCCTTGGTTACACCCCAATTTGGGGGGTAACAAATTTTATACTATTAGGGGGTGAACCAAGGGGAACTAGGGTGAATTAACTTCACCTCCTAAGTGTTCCCAAACAAGATGAATGAAAGTGAATGGTTCCCCTAACTTCCCTTCACCCTCATTCCCCTCAATCCAAACAAGCCCTTAGTAATACATTTTTTTTTGTGGGGTGGGTGGGGAGGGAGACATGTTCAGGGGATTAAGAGAAATTTACCCTTTAGGTTATTATAGTTAATCCCGCAGCCAGAGTGGACTTGTTCAATGAGTCAATGACAAGGGAATGCAATATCTTATGTTCTAAAAAAATATCTATGCTTGGTACATGTTCTTAACCTTTCTAAAATTAAATCAGCTTAAGGAATAAAAACATAAATGGAGATTATCATATTTCTCTTCTTTTTGCTCATCTCTTCTTCCTTCTCTTTATCATCAAGTTTGCTGGGAACCGAAACCGACATGCTCACTTCAAACTCTCAAGGGTCAAATAACTAACGATCCTTCAGGGGCTCTAATCTCATGGAACACCATGCACCAGCCATTTCTGCAACGTACTGGGTTGGAGTCTCGTGCAGAAAATTACATACCATGTTTCCATTCAGGCTCATCTTTCCGTATCTTCTTCGTCTCGGTTGTGAATCCCTGTAACCATTTACCAAACAAAGTGACTTACATCCAAGCCAACTCTTTCATCGGATACACAAATTTTCTCCCAACTCACGAGCGGGTATTTCTTCTCTCCTGAACTTCCGTACTAAAATAAAGCGTCAAACAGCACTTTCAAGTTTCCTTGCCACACCAACAGGAACCTTAAACAATGAGATATATGATTAATTACCTTAGTTAATCTTCTTAATGTAACAGTTCCATAGAACTATGGAAGATGGGCATAAAAAAAAATCATGTAAAAGGTTGTAGATAATTTGATGTAAAACTTATGAGAAGGATGCCATGGCCACCACCAAGAATTAATCAGATCAGTTTAAACCAATATTAATATATTGGTTAACCTCAAAAGACATTTGTCACTTGGATCTCTTCTTTCAATTCAAGCTCCTGTTGATGGTAACATCTTTAGAACTCAGTAAACTCGAGTACAATTTTGGACATTAAACCTTTAGAAATATATTACCACACATGCACGTACAGAATGTACATACTAAAAGTAAATCTAAAAAAAGAAACCGAAGAGAAAATTTCAACATATTTCTCATGTTAATGAATTTAAGAATCATATATCCGTTTAATTCCATAAACACCAACTCTAAGGAATGCATCCCTTATTGCACGCAACTCCGTTGCAACAAATCTTATATCAACTCGTTCTCTTGGTGACTCTTTCGAGCATGAAAGCCCAACTCTCATAACAGACTCTAAGCATTCATGGATTCCAATCCTTGAATCCGTAGGCAGTTCCTCCTCTTGTTGTGACAGTAGAACTGGATCTATGATCTCCATAACTCTATCAGGAAACGCCAATCGGACAAAGTTGTGAAGATTGTGACCATGTTTGAACATATCATCGGTAGGTGCTATTCCTGTAAACAACTCTAGTAAAAGGATTCCGTAGCTGTATACATCTCCAGAAGTAGACACTTCAGCACCAGCACCATATTCTGTGGTTTGAACGTCTTGAGTTAGAACTTTATAGAATTAATGATGTGCTTTATGCCTTTATATGGTAAATGTCAAAATTTACTAAGTGAAAAAGATGAAATAAATTTAACAAATAACAAATTTGATGGTCAATGGTGAAATCGCAGTAAAACTTTTGAGGAAGAATTTGGTTCTAATAAGTTTTTGACAAGGATTTTGTTTTACCTATATTTTAATGCATAACTCATAGTATAACGGTGTACCCCAAAAAGGCCAAAGAAGCTGATCGGGTTCATTTAGGAGGAAAACCAATGTAAACCTCTTTTATCATTTCCAATGCAAGCATAAATTTGATGCACAAAGAGGCGAAGATGGCGGTTCACTTTTTAAAACAAAAGGGATAATTGCGGATACACTCCCTGTATTATAGCTACTTATACCCTCAAACTTTTCTATTAGTGCCTAACCCTCTGAATCTCAAACAACATTACTTTTTTTGCCCCCAGTTTAAACGGAAATTTAGGTCCAAAAGAAATTTATCATCATGTGATTTCCGCTTGACATCTCAATATCTAGATTGCAACATAATGTCGCCTAGAGTTAAGGGATGTGAGTGCTAATAACATAGTTTAGAGGGCACAGGTGGCTACACTCTCATCTAAGTTGCATGGTATGGGAACGGGTAACAGGTATGGTAGATGTTTGGGTGCAAGGTGGGGGGGGGGGGGGGGGGGGGGGGGCAAGTCTGCAATAAGTCCAGAACCGGAAAAATTGAACTCATAGAAGTTTCATCTTTTGATCTTCAAATCCAATAGAAATTACCTGATCGTTTATATGCAAATTCGAGCAAATGACGTGAAAATTACCTGGAGGAACATATCCAATTGTGCCCCTTATCGCAATTGAGCTGCTAGAATCCTCTCCAGACTTGCTCATATCAGTTACTAACCTCGCTAGTCCAAAATCACCCACACGAGCAACCATATCATCATTAAGAAGAATGTTGCTAGGCTTCAGATCACAGTGAACGACCGGTATTTGACAGTCATAATGTAGATATCCTAGTGCATCAGCAACATCAACAGCTATGTTCATCCTCTGTATCAGGGTAAGCGCTTTGTTTTCTGTATGCAACCATGTTTCCAGGTTTCCATTAGGCATGAATTCAAACACTAGCGCTTTGAAATCTACGCCTTTGGAATCAACTGTGGAGCATGAGGTAAGGATTTTGATAAGATTTCGGTGTCTGATATTTCTTAAAGCTTCAGATTCATCTATGAAGCTCTTCAATGCTCCTTGTCTCTCAAGTTTGAATACCTTCACAGCCACAATAGTATTATCATGAACCAGAGTTCCTTTGTACACTGAGCCATAACTTCCTCTGCCTATCAAATTGTCAGCAGAGAAGTCATCAGTTGCCCTTGCCAGTTCCAAATATGAAATCCTGACGTATTGATTATTGTACAATGGAAATGCAGACGTTTCTCCTCTTGACTTTGACTTCCAGTAAATGAAACCGAGAGAGATGAGCAAGAGTAAGCAGAACACAATGCTAGCTATTGCAATCACTATTTTCAGCGACAAGGATATCCCTTTCTTTTTAGTTGATTTTATAGAACACGATGGCAAGTGAAATTCTGAAATACCGCCACAAAGCTCATTGTTTCCCGTGATTGAAGTTTCTGTTGCATTTCTAAAAATCCCTTCCATTGGCACCTTGCCTTCGAAATTATTGAATGATAAATTTAGGGATACAAGGCTCAATCTCCCAAGAAAATCAGGTATCGGTCCTGACAGGTTATTTTGCGAAAGATCTAGCATTTGAAGACCTTTTAAATTGCTTAAAGATGAAGGGATTTCTCCAGTCAATAGATTTTGCTTGAAATCTAAAGACTCTAGAAGCTGACAATCTCCTAAACTGCTAGGGATTTCACCTGTCAACTTATTACCAGCGACGTACAGTAGTCTCAGGTATTTCATGCTACCGACTTCAAAGGGAATGCCTCCAGAGAGCGAGTTGTAAGATAAACCGAAAGATGTAAGGGAGGATAAGCTGAAAATTTCTTTAGGTACTTGACCGCCTAGATCATTATTGCCGAGACCCAGCTCTTCTACTTGCTGCAAGTTTCCAAGGCTTGAAGGTATAGAGCCATTCAAATTGTTTCCAGTGAGATAAAGGTATACTAATCGATTGAGATTGCCAAAGGAAGATGGAATATTTCCCACTAGCCTGCTTCTATACAATGTTAGCAGCTGCAAATTCTTAAGATTACCTATACTTTCGGGAATTACCCCAGTGAGGAGGTTCGGCCCCAGTGCCAATATCGTCAAATTCACTAGATTTCCAATCGACGAAGGAATTGTACCGGATATTTGGTTACCGTTCAATCTTAGCTCTTGGATACTCGCAGAGAGATTCCCTATCGAGCTTGGCAACTCACCGCTAAGATCGTTCTGATATAGGCTCAACATCTGCAACCGGCTGCAGTTAGCCAGAGAGCTCAAAAACTCCCAGCTTTCAGCATCGCTCGTTTCAAGTTGATTCGACTCTAAGTTCACCTTAGAGAGATAACTTAGCCTCCCTAGATTCGGCGGTATCCTCCCTTCTAAGTTGTTAATGCTCATCTCAACAAAAGACAGCCCTGATGCGTTCGGGAGCGAGAACGGGATGGGCCCCTCGAATCTGTTGCCACCGAAGAGAACCGTCTCGAGACTTGGCAGCGTTGTGCCCATCGCAGAGGGTAGGCTCCCCTCAAATTGGTTATGCGCCAGGCCGAAGTAGTACAATCTTGACAGGTTGAAGAGGGAGGAAGGAACGGTCCCTGAAAGCTCGTTATCAGAAACCTGGAAATATTGCAGACCCCGCAGGTTTCCGATTTCGTCAGGGACGCTCCCCTCCAACCGATTGGTGCGGAGCGCGATGTGATGCAGAGACGAGAGGTTGCCGAGTGAGGCTGGGATGGGCCCTCTTAGGCTGTTATTCGAGAGGCCGACGAAGCTGAGCTTCGGAAGGAGGCCGAGCCCTTCGGGGATGGCCCCGGACAGGGCGTTGCTACCCAAATCGAGCGTCGTCAGGCCGGAGCAGCGCGTCAAGTTGACCGGGATGGCCCCGTGCAGCGAATTACCGCTCAGGTCAAGAGTCTGCATCCGGTTCAGGCTGCAGATATCGTCGGGTATCGCGCCGCGAAAACCGTTGTCGTTGAGGGTGAGGTTCACGAGGAAGGTGAGGTTGGCTACGGATGGCGAAATGGAACCCGAGAGGCCCAGGGAGCTGAGGTCCAAGGCGGTGACCCTCTGAAGGCGATGCGTTCTGCCGCACGAGACTCCGACCCAGCTGCAGAAAGGGTTGGTGTCGTTCCACGAGATCAGAGCCCCCGAAGGATCGTTGGTTATTTGATCCTTGAGAGCTTGAAGCGAGAGCATGTCGGTTTCGTTCCCCAGCGAACTTGACGATAGAGAGAACCAAGAAGAGAGGAGCAAAAAGAGGAGCGTCTTCTCCATTGTTTTTTTTATTCCTTAAGCCGCTCTAGTTTCAGAAGGATTGGGATGTATATACCAATTATATACCACAGTTTTTTAGGACATAAATAAGCCTGCAGAGATCGATCAAACCCATATTTTGCATTCATTGTCAACGAATCCAGTCCACTTAGAAAGCAGAAAGGTCAAACATAAAGTGCTGATTAGATTTAATTATGATCATGATGTAGTTTTGACGGGTAACTACATGTTGGTTAGAGTTATTTGATGAGCTGACCACCGTATGACATGTACATTTGACTACGTCAATCTTTTCTACACATGGAGGATAACATTTTATCCATTCAATAACATTTAGAAGGCTGCGTTTCGTTCCCAAGTATAGCAATATATCTCCCATGGATTTTCTATATTTGGCATCTCTAGCGTCTAGATATATATAGGGGAAAGAATCCAAATCGTGGGGACCACTGTATGGCTGATATTGCATTTGACGTCAAATTTTGATAACTGACTATGCAGCTGCATTCATGGCCTAAAACTTGAGAGTTGCGTCACTAAGACTACACTGACTTCAATGATTATAGTTATAAATTCAACAACTGAAATGAAATATAAGGTCGATGATAAAAAAGAGAACGGTTTTTCTATAGAATGCCCATGAACACTCTATAAGAGAGGAGAGAGATAAAGAGAAATGAATAGCTCATGGGTTTCCCTGATTTGCATTAATTTCTGTGCATAATTTATTTCTCTCTATCTCTCTCCTCTCTTGTAAAGTGTCAATGTGCACTCTATAGAAAAACTGAAAAGAGAAATAAGATTTGCTTGTTGACTACTATATTAATTTGGCATCTAGTTATTTAATACGACTGTGACGTATGCTTTCTGCCAAGGATGGGCGTTGATTCATTACTGAAAGTTTCAAAGGCCGATTCAATTTTATTTTTCAATTTGACAGTCTGGAGCCTGACATCAAGGCTAGCTATTATATGAGTAAAGAATTATAGAACTAAGACTTACGATAATATCCTAAAGATGCGTTTCACCAGTCTAAACAGATTGAGATTTGAGACTCATTCATTATTCAAAATGCTTAAAACACTGTCAGAGGCAGAAAGAAATCCGTGTCACTCACCATGGATAATAAGGGGCTGTGTAGTTGTTGTTGGTAAAGTTCTGTATTTATGACACAACTTGAAAAGTTGTTGTCCACCTCATAAAATTTTAATGAGCAACTTTTCTTTGTTTGTTTTTTATTCCATTGGAATCATAAATTGCTTGTTTGGTTTGTAAAATATAACTTTAATTACTTGTTTGGAAAGTGTAAAAAATGGTTATTGTGTGGTCCATACTCAAATAATTCTATAGGCCTAGCCTCATCACTTCTGACACATATGTTAGCTTTCCTTCAAAATGAGATCATTTTGAAGGGATTTGTGAATCTATGTCACATCAGCATAGTAAATCACTTTACACTATTTTCACAACTACAAACAAACGATTAAAAAGAAGGAAAACTGACATCGGGACCCACTTTTTTACATTTTTCATTCTTTTACATAGTAAAAACTTACAACCAAATAGTTCCTAACTGCTTGGAATATAAAATAATTAGTATTAGTCTGTTCAGATTCATTTTGCCTACTTCATCTGGGTCAAACTTTTGCTGGACAAGTTTCCATGAATGGAGATTTGAGAGATAGAAATTTTTGATTTGTGATGGGATACGAAGCTCATTCATGTTTTCCCTTAGTTACCTCACTTAATCTACTCATCCGCTTATAACGCTAATATTCGGATAAGTATACTAGTTATTCCATAAAACGTATGATCAGTAATGTGTTGTGCCAAAAGCTGTGTCGAGGAACCAAACCAAACGCCAATCCAAGAGAGCCAAACGAACTAAATATCAATGCACAAACAAAACACCAATTTTAACGTGGTTCGGCAAGTTACCTACGTCCACGGGGCAAGAAGGGGATGATGTTTTCACTAATAGAGAAAGAGTATAAACTGAGATTACAAATCACTCGAATGAACAAACTAATCTCACCAACAAGCTCTTAATCTCTCCAAACAAAACCCTAAACAAATAGCTCAGAAAATACCTCTTTTCTGTGCTCCAAATATCCCCGGTTTTTCTTCTCCTAGTTCTCTCTTCCAATTGTTCCATATATATAGAAATCCTAAAATCATAAACATACTAGGAATTCTAAACCAAAAGCCAAATCAAATTAGGAATCCTAATAACCTATTACCAAAATAGATTAGAAATGCTAATAACCTTATGTTACCAAAATAGATTAAGAATCCTAATAGATTAGGAATACTGCTATCCAATAATTCTCCACCTCGGCGAAGTTTTCCCAAAACTGAGCCGACACCGATCAAACCAAATGCCTCACTTATTACGTCCAATAAGAAGTGAAACGACCCACAACAACGGTCTCAATCCACAACAAGTCGAGACTCAAACGGGAGTGCGAACACTCACCCAAATGTCGGTATCTACTCACCAAATCGGCTGTATCAAAACTGACTGCCTACGTATCCTCTTGCCCAAGGAATCAAGCCTTCACGTAGTTCACCCAAACGGCCTCTAAAGGCCCTCAAACAAATAGAAAAGTCTGCAACTCTTCCCCAATATCGCCAACAGATCTGCAACTGATAGCGGCCCCAAACTGATACAAATCAAACACCTCCATTTGAGGTGAACCAATGGCCGTATCCAAATCATATCCACCAGGTGCAGCCGAATCCAAAACCAATCCATCATCTGCATCCGAAATCAAATGATCCCCAACCTGCGTCACCTCAGCTAGAATCCCAAATGACGCAGTATGATCTGGAGTATGTGGAATAAGTTCCACCCAACGTGAAGTAGCATCACTCTCCACCAATTGGTGATTTTTTCCTTCTTTTAGCTACCCCTCCACTTAATCTACATCAACTACATGTGAGGAGTCACGTGACTCAATTTGACCAGAATTTTGGCTCCAGTCAAAATATAGGTTAATTTGTTACCGTAGTCCGTATAATATATCATTTTGTAGCAAGAGTAAGAAAGTAACTAATGTGTCACTAAGAATGAATAAAATATACCAATATGGTAATTTTGCCAACAATATACTATACAATATTATAATCACTATCATATTATTAATTTTTTAAATAATATGTAATAAACTAATAAGTATAAAATATTATATAATGATAACATATTTAATAATAAATAGAATAAGAATATGATAATAATTATTATATAGCATATATTATATAGAACATGTAATATAATTAAATAATATAAAATATATTAATAATTAAAATATCTTAAATAATAATATAATAACATATTAACTACTAATATTTAATATCTTGAAAACGTATTATATATTAATGTATTTAAATTAATATAATAATAAATAATAATGAAATATAAATAAATTAATAAAAAATAATAAAAAGGTTATTAATAACAAATAATAATGTAGTAATGATAATATACTATACAATATTATAATCACTATATTATTATTTTTTTAGTAATAATACGTAATAAATTAATAAGTATAAAATGTTATATAATGGCAACATACTTAATAATAAATAGACTAATAATATGATAATAATATATTATATAGCATATATTATATAGTTAATGGAATATAATATAAAATGTAATATATTACATAAAAAATAATAATAATATAAATGATTTATTAATACTAAAATAATTGATTGCTAACAAATGTTAGTGTAATAATAACAATATTAATAATACAATAATATTTATTTATATAATAAATTATTAATATACTATTAAAGTAATTATTAATAAACCCTAACATATTAGAAACTATAATGTATTATATAATATAAAAATAGTTGTAATATATGAATTT